GGTTATTTTCCTGATTTTTGGGTTCTCTCTCTGATTTCTTTTCATTTATTCTCTCCCATCCCTCCCCCTGATGCCGATTTTTGGGGTCTCCCCCTCTGATATTGATATTTTGGGGTCTCCTCTCTCTGACATTGATATTTTGGGGTGTCCCCCTCTGATGCTGATTTTTGGGGTGTCCCTCTGATGTTTTTTGTGTTCTCCTCTCATTTTTGGGTTGGGTTCTCTGATTTTTTTTTGGGTTCTCTCTCTGATTTTTTTTTTGGGTTCTCTCTCTGATTTTTGGGTTATTTCCCTGATTTTTGGGTTCTCTCTCTGATTTCTTTGTGTTCTCTCTCTCATTTTCTCTCTCCCATCCCCCCTCTGACATTGATATTTTGGGGTGTCCCCTCTCTGATGCTGATTTTTGGGGTGTCCCTGTGACGTTTTTTGTGTTCCCTCTCTCATTTTGGGGTTATTTCTCTGATTTTTGGGGTTCTCTCTCATTATTGGGCTGTCTCTGATTTTTTGGGGTTTCTCTCTCATTTTTGGGGTTTCTCATTTTTTGTGGTATCTCTCTGATTTTTTGTGCTCTTGTTTAATTTTTGGGGTCTCTCTCTGATTTTTGGGTTATTTTCCTGATTTTTGGGGTTTCTCTCTGTTTTTTTGTGTTCTCTCTCTCTCATTTTTTCACTCACATCCCTCCTCTGATGCCGATTTTTGGGGTCTCCCCCTCTGATGCCGATTTTTGGGGTCTCCCCTCTCTGATATTGATATTTTGGGGTGTCCCCCTCTGATGCCGATTTTTGGGGTGTCCCTCTGATGTTTTTTGTGCTCTCTCTCTCATTTTTTCGCTCCCATCCCCCCTCTGATACTGATTTTTTTGGGGTCTCCCTCTCTGATATTGATATTTTTGGGGTCTCCCTCTCTGACATTGATATTTTTGGGGTGTCCCCCCCCTCATGTTGATATTTTGGGGTCTCCCCCCTCTGATGCCGATTTTTGGGGTGTCCCCCTCTGATATTGATATTTTTGGGGTCTCCCCTCTCTGATACTGATTTTTTGGGGTGTCCCCCCGTCTGATGCCGATTTTTGGGGTGTCCCCCCTCTGACATTGATATTTTTGGGGTGTCCCCTCAGCTGTCGCAGGAGCCGGGTCCCGACTCCCCGATTTTCCTGCCCGGGGACCCCCCCTGGCTCTGGGCTCTGGCCAAGGCCTGGGTGCGCAGCGCCGACTTCCACGTGCACGAGGGGCTCACGCACCTGCTCAGGGCTCACCTGCTGGGAGAGGTGTTCGCCCTGGCCACGCTGAGGCAGCTGGCACCCCAGCACCCCCTCTTCAAGGTACCCACCCCAAAAAACCCCCAAAATCCTAAAAAATCCCGATTTGAAAAGCTCCATCCTAAAAAAAAATCCTGCCCGAAAAACCCGATCCTAAAAAAAATCGCATCCAAAAAAAATCCCTAAAAAATCCCCACACAAAAATCCCTGGGGGCACCAGGATTGGGGGTCAGGGGTCACCTGAGCCCCCTTTTCAAGGTACCCCCAAACCCCAAAATCCTAAAAAATCCCGATTTGAAAAACCCGATCCTAAAAAAATTTATCCCAAAAAATCCCAATCCTAAAAATTCCTGGGGGCACCTGAAGCCCCAGGTGTGTTTTGGGGTGGTCCCAGGTGTGCTGGGGTCACCTGAGCCCCCTCTTCAAGGTACCCCAAAAACCCCAAAACCCCAAAAAATCCCGATTTGAAAAGCTCCATCCTAAAAAAAATCCCATCCAAAAAAAC